GCGGGCCCGCGCCCCCACCCCCTTTGCTGAGCCCCCTCTTTGCCTCGGCAGCTGGTACAGGACGAGAACGTGCGCGGGGTGATCACCATGAACGAGGAGTACGAGACGAGGTTTCTGTGCAACTCCTCGAAGGTGAGGGGCCCCGCCCGCGTCGGGGGAGCGGGGGCGCCCCCATGCTCCTGGGCTTGGGGGCGCCGGAGGGGCCGGGAGGGGGCGTGGCAGGAGACCGTGCCCCCAAAGTGGGTACCCCAGCCTTTCTTTTTATGCCGACTGAGAGGGGCCTTGCCCTCTAAACTCACAAGACTACGGCTAGAAGTGGAAACAAATTGTGAAACTGAAACCGATGAGAAAGATATTTGAAAGTAGAGTTGATAAAGTCGGATTACTTCTTAGCGCACGGATGTATTCTTAACTCTAACTGAACTTTGTAATCTAAACTGCAGGGCAACTTTTTTATGGCTTGCTGATTTCATTCAGCCCATACTTTAAGATTTATTTTATTTGTTCTTAACAAGTTTTGGGGTGTCGGCCAGAGAGGTGGGGGTGGGGTGGTGATGAGAGGAGTCACCGGAGACAAATGGGGAGCAGGACAGGCAGATCTACTGAAATCACTGCTGAGGGGAGCAGTTGAGAGACCGGAGAGGTCTGTTGCGCCACGTGGGTCAGCTCCCTGGCTGGGGATCAACGCCCTCTGCGCTGCCGACTGCTTCGTAGTGCTGAGACTTAACCCCTTGTAGCACGAGGGAAGCCCTTGCCGAGCACTAGATTAGGATCAGGAACTGTTAAGGTGCTAGAAACTTAGGGAACAAAGCTCTCACCTCACTTGCCATCTTCAGGCTTAAATTTATCATAAAGCCACCCACTGAAAACCTGTACAGGGTACTGATTGAGGAAACGTACTTATAGGTTAGCGATCAGAGTGGAAATCCAAAGTTTTAGCACAACCAAGTTCAGGCCTAAAATACGATTTCCATTAAATGTGAGTGCTTGAAACTGTCTGCAATGGCTATTGGATGTCGCTGATGTGATGTGTTTGATTCTATTAGCACTAAACATTTCCTGCTTACTTGATATAACCTGAAGATGTTACTTCAACCTGTAATTATTTTGCCTCCCTCACCTCATTTTTTTAAATTTTAAAAATATGTAACTCACTTAAAATGTTGATTAGTGGGGCATGGTGCAGCAAACCTCTGACAGGACCCACCGCTGCTCCCCTCAGCAGTGTACTTCATCAGTCCGCCTGTTGCTCCCTGCAGTGTCTCTGGTGAATCCTCTCACCACCTCTGGCCTGTACCCCAGTTCTGTATGCATAAATAAATCTTAAAAAAAAATTGATTAGTAATGGCATACAATTTTAAGTGAGGCTAATGGTTCCTTGGGTTTGTCAAAGTACTTTTACAAGCCTCAGGAGTTATTAATCAAGATGGTAAATGTTCCTTTGTGTAGTCAGTGCAGTGGGACAAGAAGAATCCTGAAAACTGCTCAGACTCTGGGTATGAAGCGGTGATATTTGTAAGATGTGACTGTATCATCCCACTGGCCTAAAACGAAACCTCCAAGGCTGCAGTTCTAATATTTTAATATGCCTCAAAGTCATATGGCAATCTTAAAATAGCAGATTTCTAGGTATAATTAATCGCTATAGAGTCTGACTGAGGAGCTTTAAGATAAGGTCCAGGAATCTGAATATTTAGCAAATTTCCTAGGTGTGGTAAATGCATCAGCCACACGTGACACCACTGTTTCTATTGTTAATTTCATGAGCGGTATAAAATAACTTCATTCAGGCATAAAATTTGTTGTTGGGGATAAAGACATGATTAAGAGTTAACTGAAGCCTATTTTTAAATATTTTACGTATTTTTTAAATTTTAAAAAATGTGAGGGAGGCAGAAAAATCTGAAAGCAAAAATAAAGTTGCCTAGGGCCCCCCTGCTAACGCAGAGGTTAAAGTCTCAGTGCTACCAAGCTATGGCCAGCCACTGTAGCATGAGTTCGATCCCTGGTGGGGAGCTGACCCACATGGCACAGCAGACCACTCCTGCCTCTCCGGCTGCTCCCCTCAGCAGTATATTTTAGTAGCTCTACCTGTTCTGCTCCCCACTCTGTCTCTGGTGAATCCTCTCACTCCACCCCCACCTGTGGCCTACACCCCTGCTCCTGTATGCATAAGAAACTATATCTTTTTTAAAAACCCACAGTCATTTTACGGGGGTGGAGTGGGGAATGGGATCAAAAACAGTGGGGGGAGGGAAGTGCGCTGGACTATGGTGATGGCACATGGGTGACTTGGTGGTGGGAAACCCATGGGGCTTACAATTGAGATAAAAAAAAATGTACAAAATTATGTAAAAACAAATTATTATTAAAAAAAAAAACCACAAAGTAAAGTTGGCCAGTTTGACAGGTACTTTTTGTCTCCTATTTCTGTTCTTCTGTTTGGGTGGTAACACTGCATTAGGTGGTAACAAAGGCAGGTGTGCTAGTTTGATTTTAAAGTGGTAACCCTTTAAAGTTGTATCAGTCACTAAAAAAAAGTGGTAAGTAAAGGAGTCTTAGTGCGAGAGAAATACAAAGCTCTTGCAAAACACAGCAACTGCCACCCTGTTGTTCAATCACTGCACAGGCAATGAGATTATTGCTGTTACACGTCTTTCCTAGCTGTATTTTTGTACAGCTAGTATTTTGCAACTAAAGATCCAGATACCCAAAGGTTACTTTAAGAACACTTTAAGTCTTGGACATAATTCTAACTCAGCAGCACAACTATTCTTTGAGGAAGGACCAGCCATGCAGGTCAGCCATTTTAAAGACTTTCTGAAATGGGCTTACTTTTTCAGAAAACAGTGAGCACTATATTCAGTCGTAACCCCTGAAGCTTCCTTGTTGCTTTGCTGTTTCTTGAGGGCCCATCTTCATACTAACAGCAGACTTTTTTCATCCTCTGGTTCCAGGAGTGGAAAAAAGTTGGAGTTGAGCAGCTGCGGCTCAGCACAGTCGACATGACTGGAATCCCAACCTTGGTTAACCTCCGCAGAGGAGTCCAGTTTGTTCTCAAGTACCAGTCGCGGGGTCAGAGTGTCTACGTGCATTGTAAAGCTGGGCGCTCCAGGAGCGCTACTATGGTGGCAGCGTACCTGATTCAGGTAAGAAAGATCTAGAATATAGTCTCTACCACCAGGCTTTACTGAAAGGAGCCATGTTCCCTATTTCAGGCTTGGGAGACGTGGGAGTGTGGAAAGCACCTGAGCTTGGCAATAGACTGAACTCTGGCTTTGCCATTTGCGGCTGTGTGTCCGTAGGCAAAAGTAGCTCCCCTCTCTGATTCTGTTCCCTCAAACTGAATTTGTTATGAAGCTTTATGAGAAATTCATCTTAATAGGCTTTCAAAAACTGGAATTGCAAAGGATGCTAACACCAGCAAAAGGCCAGAAGCATCTGTTAGAAATGGCGTGTCAGAAAATCTAGTCCTGTAGACAGTAGTGCTGATCACTTACAGCTCTACAGTATTCAGATTTCTTCAAGTATCTCAGAGTAAAGTTCTGGGCATTTATTTCTACAAATAATCCAATGGAACTCTGTCTGTTGGTTAGCTATGACTGGCTGATGTTTTTTTTTAAATATTTAGAAGCAAATACTCTAGTCCAATATTCCATTACATGCCCCCACTTGACTCATTTTTACCCCTGCAGGACATTTACTAAGTCATGTTGTGGAAAGTGTAAGGAAAAGGGAAATGTAAAGATAATCAGCCTGACCTCCTTGTGTTATAGCTGACTGGTGAGTATAGGACTTAACAATACTGAAGCTTTGGTCATTAGGAATATCTGCTTGGAAACGGGGTTTCAGGAGATTTTGCACTGAGGGAGAACTGAACCGCAAGCTAGAAATCTGTATTTTATTGAGTTCTAAACCAGTAAGTATTCCGAGGACACAAAGATAACATTTCTTGTTAAATTATAAAGTGCTGGGCCCTCTCAGCAACGGGTTAAAGCACTATGAAGCTATCCTTAGCCAGGGAGCTGACCCACAAGGCATGGCAGACCTCTCCTGGCCCACCCACTGCTCCTCTCAGCAGTGTATTTCAGTCAGTCTGTCTGTTCTGCCCCCTGCTCTGTCTCTGGTGAATCCTTTCACCCTCCAGCACCTCTGGCCTGGACCCCAGTTCTTATATACATAAATAAATAAATATCAAAATAAATTATAAAGTGCATTTTTCTAGCCATGGACACAGTGCATAAAAACAAAACTGTAGTTTTTCAGGAAAATCTTGTAACCAGTGGTCCAGCTCAAAGACCATCTAGTAGGCCTAGACAAGCCCAACTTAGACTCCCATGCTCAACCTATGATTTAAGCAGAAAGATGGACTTGTTTCCGCTAGTCTGTTATACAGGACTATGGGACAAATTGGCTGAGTGGGTGTTTTTTGTAATTTATGTGAGCGGTATGGTTTTTAGCTACCCCCTGGCATTGAAGCCTTGTTTTAAAAAAAAAAAGATTCTGCGAGCCCTAGCACCTGCTACTGGGTCAAGTACACCTGAACTCCTGCTCCTTACTTTCTCTGCTGATTTCCCGACTCTGTACTACTTCAGGTGAACAACTGGAGTCCAGAGGAGGCTGTAAAAGCTATCAGCAAGATCCGGTCACACATCCACATCAGACCCGGCCAGATGGAAGTTCTCAAAGAGTTCCACAAGGAGATTACTGCAAAGGCAGCGAAGGGGGGAACTTATCACACATCACAGACATGAAACACATGCAAAGAAAGAAGACAATCCTGCTTGCTACAGAAAAAGTTGTTAACAGGACCGTGGGAGCTTAAGCTCAGACTTGACATTGCAGAAGTTGCTAAGTAACGGATAATTGTCCTCCCTTGTCTTGTTTCATTTTTCTGAAATAACACTGTTGTGTGGTTAGAAAAGATTAGCGTGGCTTCACTTCATCGGGTATAAAGAGGTAGGGAAACGACTTATTAAATAGGGTCAAATAAATCTATTGCACACCTACCATGGTTCATAATGGTATTTAGCACCATAATTAAAAGCATGCAACACCAGGAAAAGAGAGGGGGCATGCTTGGCTTTGGCTTGCTGCCCGCGTGCCAGCTATGCGGCGCCCTCCTTTCAGAGCGGGGATCCCCTATGTAGACATGCATGGGATTCAACTGCTGCTGGCTGAGACAAATGTGACAGTAAGTGGTTTCCCTTGGAAGTCATGTCTTCAGAATTCAAAACAAACACATATATCCCTTCAAAAACTTTTATTTGTATGAACAGTTCTTAGCTCTTGACGTAATTAGAGCTATTTAAAGAGTAGAGACCTTACGTATTTGAGTTTGAAAAAAGTTTCTGCTATTAATCAGAAATAATCCTTTCTACTTCTTTCTGGCTTACCCCTTGGAGTTAGCCAAAAATAAAACCAAAGTATACATTTCCTGATGATACATGAGAAAACAAGAGACAGAATATTCAGAATTCTGGAGTTGACTGTTGCTGGTGAAGGACACCTTCAGTTTAGTCCATTCTCTCAACCGAAGTCTGAAGGAAAACTCTTAACACCTAATTCTTTGTGGAAAACTTACCAACTAGCCACTCTGCAGGCTACAGAAAAAAAGGAAGACCGGGCATCTTTCCCTCTGCCTTGAGATGGGGATGGGGGTGATTCTATTTAACACTGATCAGGGAAAGAGGGGAGGGTGTGCCCAAGGGCTGAAGAGAGGCTCACGTGCTCTGAAGAATCTGTAGTGAGACATGGGTTGACCGGGGGTGGCAGAGAACAGGCTGCCTACTCAGTGCACGCAGCCAGCTCGGCAGCAGCAATCTAAAAAGCCCCAAAAGACACTCCTATGGGTTCAGAGAAGGGGTAAGGTGCTGCTTTTCTAATATGTGCCCCCCCCAAAACCACAGTATGAAATGGGACTTGGTACTGGGTAGGTAGGTGCTAAAAAGGGGAAGAGGGCAAGCTAGCGGCTCTTCGCATAGCCTTAAGCCAACACAAACTGCAAATTGGTAAGCAGCACCTTAATGCCTCTGGTGACAGTTATGGCTGAAGTGGCAGGGTCAAGTTTGTAGGTGTTAGCATCCCCCTTTTTATATCTGTCCCGAAAAACATAGATGCTCCCATTACAACTGGCGATCTTCCAGAGGGATGGGGCCGAGCTCCAGGCCTCAGGAAGGCAAAGCCGGGTAAAGCTGTCTAGCATGGGGTTGTAGCATACCAGGGAGTCCCCTTCAGCCACGATGAACACCAGGTCCTTATGCACAGCTGCGTGCATGCGGCCCGCGAAGGGCAGCACGTAGGGCTTCACGTGGCACTTGTCTGTCTCTGTGTCAAAACACTGGATGAGTCGGGAGGGTTTAGTAAAGAAGTCCAGGTCATTCTCCTCCCCCCCTAGTAAGTAGATGATCCCATTGAGGTTGGCACCAGCAGCCCCTGACACAGCCACCTCTAGCTGGGTTGTCTCAGTCCAGACATTATCACCTACCCGGTAATAGATAACTGCATTGGAGAGGGTGTCCTGCAGTGTCTTGCCACCCAGTGAATATATGGCATCTTTCCCAGGCACAGACACCAGGGTGTGCTGCAGCCGGTCCCGAGGCAAAGGCGCACACCACTCCCAGTCCACAGTGGCATTGTTGCACTTCCACATGCGCCGTGGGATGGACCCTCCCACCACATACAAGTCTCCGCCATGCTTGCAGGCTGCAGTGATCTGGTGGCACAAGCTGTTCTGGCCACTTACGCTGATGGAGTCATCTTCAGCACAGTGTAAGGACACAGCCAACGAGTGAGTACGAGATGACTCTTTCCCGATCAGGTAAATGTGCACATTCTCCCCAATTTCCTATTGACAAAATTAAAGTTATAAACGGTTATCTGCCCCTTCTAGGCCAAGGCTCAGCTGAAATGCATATCCTTAAGGTCCTGGACCACATTCTTACTCTAACTTACTTCCCTCTAGTTACTGTAATATTCCAATTGCTTTCTTTTAGGCATTTTATGATAGAGTAGAAATACTGCTGCACTCATCCCTCCAGCTTACAAAAAAAAAAAAAATCAGGCGCTAGGGCTTTATAGAAAAGGTGCTTAGGATTAATAATGTAGTGATGAAAGCAGTACTCAAAGAGCTTTGCAGTTTAGAGGTTGGTGGCTTCTGGCCTCAATTATGAGTCCTCCTCCCCACTTCTAATCAACTTCAAACCAGAGACAACTTATTCACCAGTTACTAAAGAGGCCAGGCCAATAGATGACCAGAGTACGTGGATATTATGGTGTCCCAACCCAAGAAATCTGCCTTACCTTCAAGCTAGTCCTAAGTGATTCCGCAAAAGCCTCTCTTTCTTCTTTATTAAAATTGATCCAGGCTTCTATTGCCTCTGTTGGGTTCTGGGAGCATGGAACTCCATCTGTGAGAGCCAGAGGAAAAGCATGGTCAATGGTAAGTCAACAATCAGAAAGGGAAATATAGAGCTGAGGGCCTTAAAGATATAGATCACGTTGTTAGACTACCACAATGGACACTTGTGTAGGGGAGTTAATGACAGTTGCCTTGTTTCTTTTAATCATAATGGATGGTCTGATGTACTCCCGGTTGCCAATCTACTGAGCTACAAAACTTAAACCTAAAGTATAATTAGACCTCAAAGGGTCAGGGTGGTTAAAGTTGGCCTTAAGAAATTACTGATTAGTTACCTTAACTCATCATCAAATCACTTGGGTAGCTCAGCCCTAAGTCTATGTAAAGTTCAAAACAAATGAGAACACGTAGACATAGCTCAGCACTACCTTTTACTGGCTTCTTCCTCTGTGACTGACAGCTATACTAAGTCTCAGCTCAACCTCTTTCAGAAAATGTCTAAATTTATTATCAAAAATGATAATGCAGGGTCCTCCCTGGTGGCACAATGGGTTATAGCACAGCACTATGAAGCTGTCCACAACCACTGCAGCACAAGTTTGATCCCCAGCCAGGAAGCTGACCCACATGGTGCAGCAGACCTCTCCTGATCTGCCTGTTCTGCTCCCCACTATGTCTCTGGTGAATCCTCTCATCTTCTGTATCTCTGGCCTGTACCAGCTCTTGTATGCATACATAAATAAATCTAATAATAATGTCATCTAATACCTGGAAGCCTGAGGGTCTTTTCTCCTGTAGTTCCACACCCAAGTAGCTGGCTAGCATGTGACCCCCTCCCTCAACTTACCAGAGATGATATCAGTGAGTAGATGGTGGGGTAAGTGGAGAAATTCCTCTGTGCTCTGCAGCTGGGCCAGGTGGGCCTTGGCACAGTGCTTGGCAGCAGTGTAGAGCTCGGGATCACTGTGCCGATCTGCTAGCCACATCACCTGAAGGCAGTTCCCCACCTGCACTGTGCGGGCCAAAAACCTCGAACATTCCTCAAAGAGAGATGTCAGCTGATACATGTCTGACACCTCATAAATTTCCTGCAGCTCATCAGCTCGAAGTTTCACAGTTCCATGGTAGATATAATCAACCAGGAGCTGGAAAACAGACTCACTGACATCCTGCAGCACAATTACCCGGTTGTGGGCCTCCTTCAGGTTGGAAGTGAACATGGACCGGAAGAAGCAGCTCTGAGCTGAGAGGACCAGCCGGTGGAGCTGAAACTCTCGGCCTTCCACTGAAATAGTGACATCAGCAAAGAGCTCTTCTTCCAAGCACAGTTTCATGATGCCCTGAGCTACACGGCCTGAATGTGACCGATCTTTGAATGTGTAGTTCACAAAGTAGTTCTCATCCATGGATGCTCCAGGTTCCTCTGGCGATTCCATGGTAGCCAACGTCTCTCTCTGCCAGCTGTCTGCAAGGCAACACTACCCTGAGTAACTTAGGGAATCCACAGCCACCGTATAAGAATCCAACTGGCGAATTCAGGGAGGGAGGAGGGAAAAGTGAGATTAAAGTGGGGCCAAATTGGCCTTAATCCTGACCGACAAATGCTCCTCTTCAACATAGTTGGGTCCATTCTCCTCTGGCAGCACCCCACCCCTAATTAAAGCAATAAACGTTCCTGTTTGGGTGCGTCCCTGAGAAAAAAACAGGCTACTCCTTTCTGCGATGTAATAAAAGATTTGGCATTTATGTCAACACACGGAAGCGAGGGACTGAAGGAAGCCTATGATTTAAAAAATCTGGCAAAAACGTACTAGCCAAATAACTCTTGGGCATAAAACTAGTGAGGCTTGGGGATGCAGACAAACCCCACCAGTCCCACCTCCGTGGAGTCTACACCTTCCTATATCAGGCTTGGTCTCGGGCATCAGTCAGCCCCAAATTTGCTCTTTCCAGAGCTTTCCCCCATTCACTCTAATGACTGCCCAAGACTGTCCCAGAACTTGAAACAGATACCAGCCGTCCTCAGTTGGGGGCACGCGGAGGCCCGAGGCCACGTGCAGCGTCGCGCTCGCCTGCAGTAGTCTGGGAAACCGTCGCTAGGGAAACCGTTCTTCCCCTCCCCCCGCGAGCACGCTCCCGCCCGCCGGCCTTCGTCGAAAGCTTGGCTTTAGGCAGCGGGGGAGGGGTGTGGAATGTGGACTCCGGAGCCCCCGCCCCTTCTCTCTCACCCGTCTGGTTCTTTAGGGTCCTCGCCTTCTTTCCGGCCTCTGGCACACCAAACTAGGGCCGCGTTCACCTCACGGTTTCCCCACCTGCTTTCCTCGCTTTCTCACCTGCGTTCCCTCCTTTCATCCCGAAGCCCGGACTCCGGAACTTCTGCTTCCGGCCCCGCGTCCGCCCGGAAGAAGATCTGATGCACATTTCCGCTTCCGGTCCGTGCCCTTGGGGCTCCGTGTCCTGTGGGGCTGGCTGTGGTTGCCGGGTCTGCATCCGGGAAACATGGCGGCTGCGGCGACTAGGGGCTGGTGGCGGGGGTTCTTGGGGGCTGTGGCGCGGACCAGGGGTGAGCAGGGGACAGCCGCTTGAGAGCTGGGGGACGAGAATTGGCGCGCGGGGCGCAAGGAGCCCCTCGGGCCTGACTCTGCGTTCCTGTACCTTTTATCTCCCGTGCAGTGGCCGGGCGACCCTCGGCGCTATTGCTGCCGGTGAGGAAGGAGAGCGCTGCGGCCGACACGCGCCGTGAGTATGTGCGGGCCGGGCCTTTTCGGGACTGCAGGCGGGGGCTCCTTCATCTTCATTCCCTTCGTCAGATGTGTGCCCTTGCCCTGGAATGCCCTTCCCTTCGACCTCCTGGCAAATCGCTGCTCGTCCTTGAAAACCTGATTGCAGCGAACCCCAGAATCCGTCATTTACTGTGTCCTTAGGGCTTCTGTGCTACGGCCCTTACTGCTCTTGGTGCGATCTCCTTTCCACGATTCCCTTTTTTGGAGAATAAACAGCTATTTGAGAACAGGAACAACCTTTGAGCTGCAGAGCCCTGTTAGAATAGTAGTTCATATTAAGTAAGTATATATCGTAATGTATGCCGGACGCCTAGCGGAGCTTTTTAGTGAATGAGCTTACTAAGTCCTCACAGTATTCTTGCCACCTAGATGATATCACGCTGTTGGGCAAATCAAGAGACAGTTCAGAGAATGAACTTTCCCAGAGCCCCAGACTTGAGTGACAGAGCCAACCTGCCAGCCGCCAACAGCAAAGGATGCTAAACCATTATTCTGAAGCCCGTGATATGTGGGGTGGTCAGTAATTTAGGGTTACATGAGTGAAAGTATGGAGATAAGGAAGGAACCGTCAACTTAAGCCCACTGGAAGTCAGAATACCTGACCTCCGGAGCTCTTTCTGGAATTCAGTTTCTCCCTACTTATGCAACCATAAAAGCAAAAAGAGGTTTTAACTAGATAATCTGAGGGGCTCCTTTACCCCGAATAAGCTCTTCGCTTGAGAAACTGTTGTGAATCAGGTGCTGGGGAGTTACAGAGAAGCAAAAGTTCTGATTCTGTCCCTTTAGGAACTAGACAGGTGGGTCATCACTCATTCGCTGTGAGTGAAGAAGTGTCTGAGAAGCGGCAGACACCTCAGCTGCATAATAAGGAGAGTCTCCCTAGGTGGCGTTTCCCCCAAGTTTCCATCATTTCATATTCCCTGGAAGAAGAACATCCACTCTCACCTTTCTCAAGGTTCTGCAGACTACTTTAGGCAACAGAACCCCTTACAAGCCCAAGACACTGGGTGCCAGATTGCTGCTGCCACTCCATTCCTTTGTTAAATTTGCCTTCTCCTTGCAGCCACAGTCAGGCCCCGGGATGATGTAGCCCACAAGCAGCTCTCAGCTTTTGGAGAATATGTAGCTGAAATCCTGCCCAAGTATGTCCAGCAAGTTCAGGTAATTCTCACTGTTGTTTGATCTGGGTCAAGAAAGAATTGTGTTCTCAGGGTATGTGGGAGGAGGTTAGCCTAGTGTCACAGAAACCTCCACGAACTCTTCCATCCCAATTTGGGCTTCTTTCTCTGCCTTCAACCAGCCGAAGTTAGCTGCCCCCCTCAGTGGCTCTTTGTTCCTTCTCCCCTCTCCTTCCATGCTGCAGGTGTCCTGCTTCAATGAGTTAGAGATCTGCATTCATCCTGATGGAGTCATCCCAGTGCTGACTTTCCTCAGGGATCACACTAACGCACAGTTCAAATCCTTGGCTGACTTGACAGCAGTGGACATTCCCACCCGGCAGAACCGTTTTGAGGTCAGTCAGGAAATTGGAGAATTTGGGGAGTAAAGGAAGGAAAGGGGACAGGACAACTTTAGGGTAACAACTATTTGTGGTAACTGTTACCCCCATAGTTTCAGTTTGGGTCAAACAGGATATTACAGCTGGGTCTCAAAATCAGGCAGCCCTTGAGTTTGAATCTGTGCTTCTGCCACTGTTAGGTTGTGTGACTTCAAGCATTTTGCTTATGATCTTTTTGAGTTTTAGTTTTCCTATCTTATGTGCCGGTTGTGAGGATTAAATGAGATAGTATAGGTAGATCATATGGCACGGAAGTTCTTAGTCCATTTAACTGACGATAATCTCTGTCACCCACTGTTTACCAGATCCCGGGATTAAGAGTCAGTATCTACCTTCCAGGAGTCCTACACTCTAGTGAGGAAGGACACATAATCAACTCATTGTAATAATATGCAAACCTGGGGTGCTAGACGTGCTGTAAGAACACAAAGGGCACTCAGGTATCTGGGAAATTTCTTTGGTGGAAAGAGAATAGAATGCTTGTGTTGAGTCTTAATGGATGGCCAGGACACCAGACACTAGCCCAGTGAGGACTGGGGCTGGGGGAAAACACCCCAGACAAAGGAAAGAGCATGAACAAAGATGAACGTGTTAATTCAGTGCTGATTTGCATCCTGGCTGAGGCCTTTGGAAGCAATTGTAAGTATAGGAGCATCTTGAGGTTTTACTCTTCAGGACAGAGGGCAGATTTTTAGGGTGGAGCCATAACCTACCCTGTATCCTCACTGATGCTTCACTGAGGGACTCACTCGCCTCTGAGCCCTCACCTTGTGGCCATCATGGTCCTGCAGCTCCCTCTGTTCTCCCTAGATTGTTTACAATCTGCTGTCTCTGCGCTTCAACTCAAGGATCCGTGTGAAGACCTATACAGATGAACTGACACCCATTGAGTCCACTGTCTCTGTGTTCAAAGCATCCAACTGGTATGAGCGGGAGGTGAGTTATCGCACATGGTTGGCCCTGCGTCTGGGCTGGAGTTGTAGGATTGGTTGACGCTGCCGATCTATCAGCTGTAGGGCAGCCCCTCATCTTTGTCGTGGTGTGATGGACTGGGTGCCTGAGAGCCTTTTTTTTTTTTTTTTTTTAATCTAGATTTGGGACATGTTTGGAGTCTTCTTTGCTAACCACCCTGACCTACGAAGGATCTTGACAGACTATGGCTTTGAGGGACACCCTTTCCGGAAAGACTTTCCCCTGTCTGGCTATGTTGAGGTAGGAGCTTCGGAGCTGGGGCAGCGGCGGGGAGGGGGCAGCTGGAAACCTACAGGAGCATAAGCTTGGCAGGAAATACGGCCTGTGGGTTTGGTGGCTTAAGAGTACTGACTCTGCCTGCAAATTGTGCTGTTACTGTAATCTGGGGCCAAGTTTCTGCTTAGTTTCTCTTTGGCACAGTTTTCTCATCTGCAGAATGAGAGCAGTAATTGTACTTAACCACTAGCTTTCTGGTACACCAAATGAGGTGGGGGGGGGGTGTGGGGGGTGTGTGTGTAGCTTTCTGGTACACCAAGGGTGTGTGTGTGTGCGTGCGTGCCTGTGTGCGTGCGTGTGCAGTCCAGTGTATTACAATGCTCAGTTGTGATGGTCATTGGGGACCATGTCTGTCCCATGATATAGGAGTGGACACTCGTTTGACCCTGCCTGGGTCTCTTAAGAAAACAGCTGACAGGAAGGCTCTACTAAATGTTGGGGTGTTGAGAATGACGTGGCCACGAGGGCCTTACAAAGAATTCCACTGCTGTACTCTGCCATCCGCGCGCTGCAGGTCGTTCATTAGCAGAGAGATGATCTATTCTATACTTACACACACGTGATTTTGTAGCAAAGTGACTTTTTAGGATTGTGAGGGCGGCAATCAGCCCTTCCCTTCCGTTCCCACATGCTCCTTTTTCTTAGTATTTAGCATTCCTAACACCTGACTCTTCTCAGTTATCGAACTGGTTGTCTAATAGGGAAAGGCCTGCCAAAGCCATAGGACCTGAACTCGAGTCTTGCCAGTTTGGATTTACCCTTTTTAGCCACTCACTTGCTCCTGATACTGGGCACATGCTCACCGCCTCCTTACCTAGGAGTGGGTGGGTAGGTGAGAAGAGTGGTTTCTGCTGGAAAAGGAGCTCCGAGCTCATGGGACGGTGGCGGCGAAGGGAGAGGAGCTAGCCGCTGGTGGCAGGGAAAGTGACTTTGACGGGCCTTCCTCGTACGCACGCCCACCTTTCTCTTCTGCAGTTGCGCTATGACGACGAGGTGAAGCGGGTGGTGGCTGAGCCGGTGGAGTTGGCCCAGGAGTTCCGCAAGTTTGACCTGAACAGCCCTTGGGAAGCTTTCCCTGCCTATCGCCAGCCCCCAGAGAGTCTCAAGCTTGAAGCTGGTGACAAGAAACCCGAAACCAAGTAGTTCGGGAAGCACGTGACTCCTTGAAAGCACCTTTTCTATAATTGTGTGTCTGTGTAAATAAAACCTTACTTCGAGACTCACTACTCTCTGTGCTTATCAAGGATAGAAGTGAAGCTTTGACTCTGAACCAGGGAGATGCAGACAGGGGGTTTTCCCTGCCCCCTTAGAAAAACTGCCAAATTGGGGATCTTAATTTAGTGGAATGAAGTAGTTGGTGCATTTGTGGGCTTCACGACCTACCGGCTGGATGTACTTTAGAGAGATTCTGCAGCTGAAATTCAAAGTTCTCACTGTCCACAGGGCTCAGGATGGGCTTATCACAGCAGACTGGTGGCAGCTGATGGGTCCAGGGCCTGTATGGGAGCAGGAACACCCACTCATGTTGCCTGCGGTTAAACAACCCAACACACGGGCTCAGAAAATCTCTCAGGACTCTGGTCTGAGCTGAGACTGCTGTAAGCTAGCAGAGCATGTCCCAGGGCTGGGGCAAAAGATGTTCAGGAGCTGCAGGTCTGTCTTTCAGGGGACAAACTCCCTGAGCTGGTTTGGATTCTGTTTAAGCTGGTGGCTCCAACCACCCAGCATCCCATGCATTGAAGGACCTGGCTTTTCAGCTGAAGCTCTTGGCTGTTGAGAGGCTCCCTGGAGGCTGGGCTGGGCTGGGCTGGCGTCAGGGACTGGGCACTGATGCAGGATACCTTGAGGGTGAGGAGAGATAGCAAGATCTTGTTTCTGCCTGACCTCTTTCATACCTTGGAGGGCCAAGCCAGAGCTCTTGCTACCAACTTCTCCCTGTTAAGTAAGCATCCTGCCCATCTCGGTAGGAACTGGGAGGCCCTGACAAGCAGGGAGCAATGTTCCTACCGTTAACAAGCAAAAATTCCACATTTTAGGCCCTCCCTGGTGGCACAGCGGGTTAGGACGCAGCACTGCAAGCTGGCCACAGCCACCTCAGTGCGAGTTCCAGCCCCAGCCCCAGGAGTGATCCACATGGCACGGCAGACCTCTCCTGACCCACCCACTGCTCCCGGCAGCAGTGTACTTCGTCAGTTAGCCTGTTCTGCCCCCCACTCTGTCTTTGGTGAAGCCTCTCACACCACCCCTGCACCTCTGGCTTGTACCCCAGTTCTGTATGAATAGATACATCTTTAAAAGTAGTTCCATATTTTGGGGAGACAGAGCCCCTGGGAAGCCGAGGCTAGCCCCTCCCTCTTTACCATGGCAACAGTGGTGAAAAGTAGGGAACATGGAAGCAGCAGGGGGTTCAACACTGTGGGCGTGACTGGAACACTGCAGTTCAGTGAGGGAGGTGGCCTGTAGTAGAGATGCAGGAAGCAATTATTTGAGGTTTTCTTCAACCTGGGACACAAGAGTGGGAGTGCACAAAGGATCCTAAACTCAAGGGTGAAGAGGGCGGCCTGGAAAGGGGGACAACCAGCATGAGTCTGCTTAATGCTCACCCGCCCCCCAGCTCACTCTTGCTCCCTTCCCTGATCCCCAGAACCCGGCCCATCCCTTCTTACAGTTCCCCTTCCTTAGACCTGGGCTGGGCTGGGCTGGAAGTCACAAGACAGCTGCACAAGCAGGAACTGGCGTCCACATACCCAGGCTGTGAGTCCCTCCAGGACCTGTGCAAGGGCTTTGTCCACAGGGCCAGCCCCCTTCTCTATGGCCCTGGGCCTTCACCCTTCCCCTAAACTCCCTTTCCTCCTGCCAAACCCACCCCACACCCAGGTCAGACCGACCCATCCTGGGCAGCAGCTTCCATTTGGTACCTGCTTCTTTCCACTGTGTGTGGGTCTTTGGTTTTCACCCTGGACCCCAGTTTACTCCTCTCCCATCTAGGGGCCAAGCCCAGCCTCTGAGTCCAGGCAGCACTTGCAGGCAATGTGTGACGGGAGTCAGGGTTGAGAATTAAGGGTTGGACTTCAGACTGCCAGGGAAGCTGTCTCCGAGTAAGGTCCGGTGAGATCCTACAACTCTTACCTCTGCAGGTCGTGCGAATCTATAGGAACCTTGTAAGTGCTCAGCACCCAGTCCAATTTAGGTTGATTTGTTTAAACCCACAGCTCTGGGGTCCCCGAGTCTTCAAGGCCCCATTTCGGGCTAGACTGGCCATCTGGAGGTGTGGAGGGAAGCAGGTAGCGGAGCTTTACCTTTTGGGGAGACTGGGGTGAGAAGCCTTTGGTTCCTCTTAACAAGCAGATGAACACCCTTGAGTGAACGCAGCTGGGAAGGACCTGAGACAGGCTGGCTGGCATAGCCCGACCCCACAGAGCTCCGGCCATGAAATGCTCTGTCCTGGCCCCTTGGAGTCTGTCCAAAGTCCAAAGTAAGGGCTTTGACCCCTGGCCTGAGCAAATAACCCTCCCCATCGTGAGAGGGTGAGAGTCAGAGCAGCTGGGTACAACCGCTCATCTCACCCACATGCCCCCTGTAAGAAGGTAGGCAGGTCCCACACCCCCAGTGAGGTCGCCAGGTGTCACCGGGTACAAAAAAAGGATCAGGTGAACCGGGAGGAGTCAGAGAATCTGCGTGGAAAGGGCCAGGAAGGGAGGCCTCCGGGCTTAGGTCGCAGGCTGCACTCATTTCCCACCTCTTTGCTCCCCCAGAACGGGACATAACCCCCCTCTGCCCACGACCTTCCCTCCGGGCCCCAGATCAGAGCGGCGCAGTCAAGACAGAGCTCAGGACC